TTAGGGGCTAATGCAGCTCATGACTTTAAGTTGAAGCCAATAGTCACTCACCATTCTGAAAAGCCTAGAGCCCTTAAGAATTATGCTAAATCTACAGTGCCTGTTCTCTAGAAATGGAAAAACAAAGCCTAGATAACGGAACATCTGTTTATAGCATGGGTTACAGAATATTTTAGCCCACTCTTGAAACTACTACTCAGAAAAAAAAAAAACATTCTTTTCAAAATACTGACAATGTACCTGGTCATCCAAGAGCTGAAGATCTATGGAGATGTACATGTACAAGGAGATTGATGTTGTCTTCATGCCGGTTTCATCCACTTTGTATCTCATGGATCAAAGCACAATTTTGACTTTCAAGTCTTATTATTTCAGAAATACATTTCCTAAGGCTATAGTTGCCATACATACTGATTCCTTTGGTGGTTTTGGGCAAAGTAAATTGAAAACCTCCTGGAAAGGATTCACCGTTCTAGATGAAATTAAGAACATTTGTGATTCATGAGAAAAGGTCAAAATACCAACATTAACAGGAGTTTGGAAGAAGTTGATTCCAACCCTCGTGGATGACTTTGAGAGGTTCAGGACATCAGTGGAGGAAGTCACTACAGATGTGGTGGAAAGAGCAAGAAAACCAGGGTTAGAAGTAGAGCATGAAGGTGTGCCTGAATTCCTGCAATTTCACAATAAATCTTGAAAGGATAAGGAGTTGCTTTTTATGGATGAACAAAGAAAGTGGTTTCTTGAGATGGAATATACTTCCGGTGAAGGTGCTGTGAATATTGTTGAAATGTCAACAAAGAATTTAGAATATTATCTAAACCTAGTTGTTAAAGCAGCACATGGTTAGAGAAGATTGACTCCAATTTTGGAAGCAGTTCTACCATAGGTAAAATGCTATCAATCAGCATTGCATGCTACAGAGAAATCTTTTGTGAAAGGAAGAGTCAATCAATGTGGCAACTCCAATTTTATCCTATTTTAAGGAATTGAGACAGCTACACCCCCCTTCAGTAACCAATATCCTGATCAGTCAGCAGCCATCAACAATGAGGCAAGACCCTCTACCAGATTATGACTTGTGAAGGCTTAGATGATTCCTTGCCTTTTTTATCAATAAAGCATTTTTAATTAAGGTATGTACATTATTTTTTCTTAGACATAGTGCTATTATACACTTAGTAGACCACAGAAAAATTTCCACATAAGTTTTAAATTTCAAATAATACTCTGGCAAGTCTAGAATTAAGACATAGTATTAATTCAAGAAAAATAAACTCCTTTAGACATGTCATTATGTTCAGATTATTGATCTCGACCTGCTGTGAGGGCCAAAGTATTTAGCAAGATTTTTTTCAGGGACCTGAACATCACATTTTTATTGGCAATGAGATAAAAGATTACCCAGAGTTCAAACGGGAAGGCTTAGTGGCCAGGTCTATATCCCTCTAACATTCTATTAACATGTAGCACAGATGGTGAGTTAAGTTGATGGATGAGGTTGTCTCAGTAACAGAGTTGTCTTAGTCCTGCCAAACACTTTTGTTGAATAACCTATTAAACATGGCTGACCCATGGCAGATGGAAATATTTATATGTAACTACAACTGTTATATGTGGGACCCTTTAGCAAGTTCTGAATACAGTCTCTTTTCTCATAGTTTTGACTTCTACTTCCTCAGAACCATTCATACAAGTTTGACTCAGAGAAGAGGGTAAGAAGAGAGAATATATGCAAATAAAATAACATGAAAACACTAAGAGGAGTTGTAGGGTGAACTAAACAAGAATTTTTAGGAGTAACATTGATATAAAATGCTAATAAAAACTAAAATTCAAATTCAAATTATATAGGATTGTTTTTTATAGGGTCTAAGTAGAACTAGGGGTTTGCTGTCAGATGATAACTTCTCCCCTGTTTCTACTCTACAGGAGACAGGTGAGTAGAACAACTATTAAATTTTGCTTTTTGGTTCCATATCACATATCAATACTTATTGAGTCTTAGAGTTCTTGTCTATAAAATGGAGATTATGGTCATACCTAATAAGCAGATAAGCAGGTTGTTCTTTTTTTTTTTTTTTTTTTTGAGACAGAGTCTCACCCTATTGCCCAGGCTAGAGTGCTGTGGCATCAGCTCACAACAAAGCAGATTGTTTTTAGATGTGTTTTTTAAATAACACTTGTTACCGTCTATGTAACGTATCTGTAAGTTCCACAAAGGCGATAACCATGGTGTTTTGTTCACTGACGTATTCTAAGCACTTTAACACATAGTAGATACTCAATATCTGTCAAATGAATGATTAAACAAAATAATGCATGTAAAGTGCTTAGCATAGTAATTGGCACAAAGAATTTGATAAATGGTCCTCTAAATGGTTTCGATAATGATTTTATTAACACCCACAATGCCATCTCACTAAAACAGTTGAAAAAAGTAGGGATATTTCAAACAGAAGTTGGAGGGTACTGAGGACCATACTGTTGTTTCCATATATTTGAAAGAGTATCACATGTTACTTTCAAAGAAAAGAATATAAGCCAAGAGGTGGAAACTATAGGGAGATACTTTTAAAATTGAGAGTAAGGAAGACCTTTCTAAGAAAATTGCTTAAAAATGAAATGTGCTCAAATAAATGGTGATTATATAGTCTATTAATAAAGGGATAAACAATCCAATTAGAAGTTATAAATTTATTATTCTACAAATTAAGTGATTTGGAGAGGACTCCTCTGTGTTTAGTATATACAGAATGCATTTCAAAATATAGAAAATATTGAATTTTGGCTTTGTGGTACTGTTGGTAATAAAATCCTGAATGGAAAATGGCAAATATAGTAAGTACCTATCTATTTTCTTTGTGTATATGTGATCAAAGAACATTTTTTTTTTGACAGTCAAACCATATGTCTGAAAAACAAGTGCTGTTGATTTTCTTACTAATGTTGGCAACAACAGCAGATAGGAGCTGTAGGATCCTGTATCCCCTATCAGAAAATCAGGACTATTTAAAGTCAGCTTTTTTCTTTCCTGTTCTTTTTGCCCCAGTAGTAACACTGCATTTTGGAATACAGTATAAAAATATTGGCTGTGTGCATGTTTGTGGGTTGTATGAAACTAAGTGGTGCATCGCTCCTGCCAACTAGGCATGATTTTTGGCAAAATGTATGGCATCAATAAAAAAGAAATCTCACCCAATATAATTTTTTGAAGGAAGCGTAGCCTCATACCAAAATAGCCCCATCAATCTATTGTCATCAGATCAGACAGAAAAAAGAATTAGATATATACAGTGGCCTCATAAAATGTATCCACTCTGAAGCTAAGTCTAATCACGGAAGGTCAGTTAAGCATTTGGTAAACAAAGGAAGTATGTTTTCTTTAATGAGCCATCAAAAGTTAATAACAAGTGAGTTGGCTTTCTAATTTGGACAGAAGTATTGAGAAATATGTAGTGGTTTCTGAGGATTTTACTATTCTTCAAATTTGCTGCTTGTTGAAAAAAGATATGTGATAGGTGATAACTTTTTAAAGGTATGGAATGGAATCTTCCCTACCACCGATAATCCACGTTACCATGTCAGGAATGAACTTTATTTACACATTTAAAGCGGTGGTGTTGTCCTAATGGTTGGGATGGTTAATTTTGTGTGGCAACTTGCCTGGGCCATGGGTGCCCAAACATTTTACCAAACGTTATTCTACCTGTGTCCGTGAAGGTGTTTCTGGATGAGATTACCATTTGAATCAGTAGACTAAGTAAAGCAGATTACTCTCTCTAACATGGGTGGGCCTCAACCAAACAATTGTAGACATGTATAGAGCAAAAAGACTGAGTAAGAGGGAACATTTTTTGTTTGACTGCATGAGATGGGACATTGGTCTTTTCCAGCCTTCATACTTGGACTGAAACATTGGCTCTTCTTGGATTGCAAACCTACTGGCTTTCAGACTGGAATTTAAGACTGTCAGTTCTCATGGTTCTCAGGCATTTGAACTTGGACTGGGACTACACGTTGGCTCTCCTGGGTCTCTAGCTTGCTAACTACAGATCTTTGGACTTCTCAGCCTCCTTAACCACATGAAACAATTCCACATAATAAATGTCATATATACCAATATATATGTGTGTGTATATATACACATATGTATATTTTATGTTATACATATGTATAAACTTTTTATTTTGTTTCTCTAGAGAACTTGACTAATATACTGATTCAGCAACATCAATAGGGAATGGGCTGAGTTGTGTTGATGAATGAATTATCCTGTTAATTAAAGTCAATCCCTACAGAAGCTAGTATTTTAGTACCTCATCTGGAAACAACAAAGGTGATCAGGCAAGGTAACAATGCTTTACAATATAACATAATAAACCAATTTTTCAATCCCTAAAAATTAGTTCTGAAAGCAATTCTTCACTTTAAAAAAAAAAATTAGAGACAGGGTCTTGCTGTATTATTGTCCAGGGTGGAGTGCAAGGGCACGTTCACAGCTCACTGCAACCTTGAACTCCTGGGCTCAAGTCATCCTCCTGCCTCAGTCTCCCAAAGCTCTGGGATTACAGGATGAGCCACCACACCTAGCACAATTCCTCACTTTCAAACCCAAATTCTATGATTCAACCAAGCTTATGTAATCATTCTCAAAATCAATTTCAAAAGCAGCTGCAACTTTGATACATGTTTACTTCCCAAGAGAATTACTCAAGAATTTAAGAATCCATCCCATTTCCTTACAGTCATTTTCTGAAGACTTAAGGACACATCATTTTCATGTTAGGATTCCTGTTATAATCATTTATCAGCACAGGGCATATCTACTTATTTTCCATGATTTTCTCCAGGCACCAGTACTTATGATATTTAAGCTCTATTTCCCATGTACAGATTAAGGTTCCAAAGCATCTGTCCTTTTATGCCAAAAAGATACTCTCTAATGCTGCAAAATTACCTGGTATTAACTCCATGTTAATTTTTTTATCATCACTCACCTGCCCAGAAGCAGAAATTCTCCTGCTAGACCCAGGCGCCTCATGGCCATCAGCAGGCCTCTCACCGTCATACCCTCACAGAAGCAGGCCACCACCCGGGCCTTGGGCAGATGACTTGTGAGCTTCTTCAACAGCTTATCGAAGCTCTGCTCCCCTGCATTGCTGTAGATTTTATAAGAGTGCGCGATGCAAATCCCCTCCTTTGCTGACATATCTTTGAAAGCTTCCATCCCACTTTCTCCATAGTTGCCTGTGTGAAAATATAGATAAGCAGAGGGATAGTAAAATGAGAGTGTTGCTTTAATTGGGTATAATCAAAATGCAGAAGTGTTTAGAGCAAGAAAATCACTTGATGGTATTGGATTTGGAACCTGAAGACCTGGATTTAAGTTTTTTCTCTTTCACTGATTTGCTCATTTTGAGCAAAGTACAACTGAATACATTATATATATATATATGCATTCATCTTTTATATTTTACCTGAGATGGTGAAAATAACATAAAAAGTGCAAGCAATTCACCTCCCCTTTTTTGATTCAAAAAAGGTCAAATTCTAATTGTAAGATGATGGAAGATATTTATTTACTGTATTTGTTTTCATTCTATCTACCTTCCCTTTGCTTCTCATCATACGATCATTTCACCTCACTAATTGAGATTTTTGTGTTTAAAGACATAGTACAAATAATACAGATAGTATTGATGTTGCCATAAATAAATCTTATAAGGTATTATATTTCAAATATAACAGTCTGTATATTACATATTAATAATCAAGAGAATTTACAATTTGGTCCCAACTGAAAAACTCAGATCCTTGATTGAGATTTACTCTTATCACAGAAAAATGTGTAAGCTTATGAAAGACATTTAAAGCTTCATTCTATACAATCACAACCATATGGAAGTCAGTGATAGGGAGGAATAATTCCAAAGCCCTTCACAAAACTTAAGGGTTAAGGATTAATGCTATTCTTTTAAAATTAATGAAAAATGGGGATTAATATTGACAATCAACTATATGCCAGAAAGTGTAGCAGACCTTTATATACGTGATCTCATTTAACTCTCACAATGATATATTTTGGTAGCTATTATGACCTCCATTCCATAGATAAGAAAACAGATGCTGCAGTTAGGTCCTCATTTGCCAAGAGTTACACGAGCAGTAAGTGGCAGGCTGAACTTCATCCGCAGATATAATAGTTCAGGTTCTCCCTCTACATTTTTATGGCTGACTCTTAGGAGTCTCAGGATCCTAATTATATCTGCATTTCTCTTTCCAATTTAAAGGTCATGATGCTTCAATTTTAGATATTTTTGGAGCAAGTTAAGGTTCTATAAATCAGACAAGATTCATATTCTGAGTTTTCAGAAGATTAGATGTGTGAGGGGGATTGCTTTGTAGAATACAAGAGACTGTTACAAGAAAATCAACTAGACCTAGGAAGTGGAATTGCAACAGGAGGAATAGATATCAAATAACTAAGGAGCACTGGGCATTCAATTGTATAGGGTTTGTTATATGCCATTAAATAGAAATAACTTTTACATAACTACATGTGTATAGCAGTGTGATTTTGGGAAAGTCAGTTCATACATGTTAGCTCAATGCTCCCCACAGCAACTCTGTGATAAAGGTTAATATTATCTCCCCCTCATAGCTGATAACACTGAAGTTCAAGTATAGCTAGCAGGTGGCAGAGTCTTGGTTTGAACATGTATCTCCTATTCCTGCCCCGATGTGTGCTCTACTCCTGCCACAGGTGCCTTGCCATAAATGAGATCCTTAAACTCTGGGAGTAGATTTTTGTGAAGCTTTTTATCTTCATGGACAAACTGCAAAGGGCAAAGCAGAGCAAGCCAGCTTGAGTCCCAGCCAAAAACAGCGCTGGACTGGCCGCATCTTTTTCCTTCTTCTCCACAATTAAAAGCAACCAGAAGCATCAGTGATGATGGCAGGTGGGCAATCTAGTTATTTTGCGATTAACAAAGTTTAAGGAGCACTTTTGGAAAAACGTGCTAAGGGGCCTAAATTACTAGTTGTACATTTATCTGATTATTATTCTTTGATTTATTTTTAGCCAACTCTGTTTTTCAACAGACTGTCTTACACTTACTGTTTTGTTTTAATGTTGAGGTATTTGCATAAATAATTTGAAATTAGATACAGTGATTGTGATGGCAATAGTGAAACCTCTCAATACATTCACAGTTAAACAAGAAAAAATACCTGACAAATTCATATTCTTTAGCCCCTCTCCTAACAACTTAGTTTTAACATCATTTTTGTTTATACAGCATGCTGTATAAAAGCCCCTTGAAATAGTGGAGAGAACTTTGTTATTAAAGAAACCTGAGTTCAAATTCAGTTTCGATGGTGTCTTTAATCTCAGCTTTCTCACCTGAAATAGGAGATGACATTGATTAATATTTGGATATTTTGTATATTATATTTAATGTATATAAAGTATCTGGTAGGTTGGCTAAGCCTAATTAATTGCACCTACTGAAATTATAAAGAATATTCTAGACAGGGTTCAGCTACTCTCTCTGGGAGCACCCAAAACACACAGTGGAGCAAATGGCATTGCTACTGAACATTAGAGAAAAGAATAAGCTTAAACTAACAGAAGGAAGTATAATTTTTTCAGAGCAAAGCCCATGAAGTACTTTTTGTTTATTTTTCTTGTTTGTTTCACCGCACTTTGTCCAACCAAAGCAGTACTCTTTAAAATTAAAATAGGGCCAGGCATGGTGGCTGACGCCTGCAATCCTAGCACTCTGGGAGGAGGATCGCCTGAGGTCAGGAGTTCGAGACCAGCCTGAGTAAGAGCGAGACCCCGTCTCTACTAAAAACCGAAAAAATTAGCCCGTCATGGTGGCAGGTGCCTATAGTCTCAGCTACTCGAGAGGCTGAAGCAGGAGGATTGCTTGAGCCCAGGAGTTTGAGGTTGCTGTGAGCTAGGCTGACGCCATGGCACTCTAGTCCAGGCAACGGAGCAAGACTCTGTCTCAAAATTAAATTAAAATAGGTAGGGGATATATGGAAAATTTCCATTCAATTTTTCAGCAAACCTCAAACTGCTCTAAAAAGAAAATCTATTTAAAATTAATTAAAATAGAAAATGGATATATGTAACATGAAAATTTTGCAGAATAATAATTTTGATTTAACAAAAGAAATCCAGTGTAATCTGGGCATTACAAATATGAATATATATTCCAATGAAATGGGAAAGCCTGAAGTGTTGAGATTCTCAGTAGTTTATATAAACTCTGTATTCTAGAATTATACATTTAGAAATTATGAGGAAACTATACCCCAAAAATGTCCGTAGGCTTTTTGAGGATGAAACAGTCTTCAACTAACATATAAAATGAGGAAAAAGATGAGGAAACAACTATTTGTTTTTCCAATAGTGAATTAAGTCATTGAGAAAGAAAGTCGTGGTGTAAAATATGAATCTAGCTTGTGGCTTCATTTTAAGCAACTAGTAGAAATAAGAAGGAATCCATACAACATTCTTCTTTAGGTAGAAAAGGGTATATAACTTGAAATTACGAGAGAAAAATGTAATCATAGCCCTACGACTTGACTCTTAGCTCATACTATTTATAGTTAGTGATGCAAATATCAATTATTGATTTTCAACTTTAAAAATCCACCTATAGCAAAGTGTAAAAGTCCTTATGCAATAGGATATATCTGTTATTAACCTTTACAGTGACAATTAAAGAGAAAGATGACAGAGGCTGAGAGGTGGAAATAGGGAGAGCTGATGGGAAGAGAAAGGGCACTAAAGTCCTCCACTAACAGAGGAGGTCAAGATATACAGAAAACAAAATATATGTAATTAATGGAATTACCTGAAGCTAAAAAAAAATCAGAAGGTAGTTAATCTAATGGAAGAATCATATTAAGAGAAGAAATGAGATGATATATAAGGTAGGAGAGAATGTCTATAGTCATTGAAATGTTAAGCATTTTTTTTAAAAAAGAGTAGGCGTGTATTCATACTACTTAGAGATACGGAGGTGAAAACAAGGGGGAAAAGCTAAAAAATTTTTTCACTTCCAGCCTTTCTACATTATTTGATTTTGAAAAATAAGAAAGTATAAATTTGATGAAAAAAGTTTAAAATAGCATACTTTGAAAGTCATTGAGAGAGGAAAGTAGATGCTGATAATTTTAAATGTAATTGACTTTGCTTCTCTCTGCTCCCATAATATAAAATGTCTTTACTGCTCTCTGTGTTTACCTTCAGGACATGAAAGTTCATTGTAAATTGACAAATTATAATTATATCTATTTATAGAGTACTAAGTGATGTTACGATATATGTATAGAATGTGGAATGATTAAACAAAGGTAATTAACATATCCATCCCTTCAAATACTTATCATTTTTAATAGTGAGAACGCTTGAAATTTACTATCTTATTAGCAATTTTGAAATATACAATACATTATTATTAACTATACTCAATAGATCTCAAAAACTTATTTCTCCTGACTAACTGAAACTTTGTACCCTTTGACTAATGTCTCTCCACTCTTCCCACCCCTAGCCTCTGATAATCACCATTCTACTCTCTACTTCTGTGAGTTTGATTGGGTTTGTTTTAGGGAACCTTGTTATGCTGTTGGTGGGAATGTAAAATAGTACAGCCATTATGGAAAACTGTATGGAGGTTTCTCAAAAAACTAAAAATAGAATTATCATATGATCCAGCAATCTTACTTCTGGGTATATTTCCAGAGGATTTTATCTGCACTCCCATGTTCATGGAAGCATTATTGACAGTTGCCAAGTTATGAATTCAACCTAAGTGGCCCAACAGTGGATGAATGGATAAAGAAATGTGGTGTATGTGTGTGTGTATGTCCTTCCACTTGGAATACTTTTTCTTCATTTTCCCACGTTGAAACCTTACCCATTCTTTCTGGTCCAGTTAAATCCCCCAGACTGTAAACTTCTTCAGGATGGAGACCGCATCTCCCTGGTGCCACCAAGTGAATGCTTGTGGAACTAAACTTGACCTGCTCTACCATGCTTTTCAAAGATCCTTTCACTGGGATAGCGTTACCTTACCTGGTAGCTATTCATTCAATAGATATTTATTAATTAAATGGCATGTAAAAGCATAACACTAGGCATATAACTTTAGACATGTACACATCTTAGCCTATTGATGTATTTTATAATACTCACAAACATAATTTCTGTTGTTTATAATTGATAAAAG